CCACCTCGGTTGCCGTATAGCAGTCAATTCTAAAATATGCAATAAATTTACATAAAAAACAAAACATAAAGATGAAATACACTTTGCCCAGTTTACATGGGACACTCTGCCCACATATAATAAAGCAGAAATCCACATTAATAAAACCATTATAATTATTATTATTATTATTATTATTATTATTATTATTATTATTATTATTATTATTATTATTATTATTATTATTATTATTATTATTACTGATTCTAAAATGTGTAACATTTTCCCTGCTTTGTTAATTGCATACAGTCTTGTCAAGCTTGACAGTTCATAATAAAATGTGTTTTATCGTCGACATCTTAATAAGTTCTACAAGTTGTTTAAGACTACCGGTGTCCATTTAGGACAATGGCATCTAGGACTGAGCCTAGTTAAATTCATTCGTAGCTGAACATTTGTAATATCTGAAAGGAAACTTCAAGCATTAAACTCATGCTTAAATAACGTATATGTTCCTAGCTTCAAGTTGCTAGGGAACTATACGGAATTTACTTTCCATTGTAACAGTTTTTGCAAATGTTTGATACTATTTAAAATAACAAATTTCGACGGAAATTCCAACGTCAATGTCATTTCAAAACTAGCTCAGAAACTATACTAGACTAGATCAAGGGACCGTTTTACATTTGATGGAATCATGTTGCGGCGTGATGTTACGTAACCTGACCCTGACGACCACCGGCTGTCTCGCAGTTGACGCTAGATCAGAACGTTAAAGTCAAACGTGTGACCCATTAAGATATTGAAACAAAGCAGCCGAATATTGATAAGATAACGAACTTGGGGTGTCGCAATCTCTTCAAGCTGTTGAGAAACGTTTACACAACGACCATATGTATCGACCCGTCAGCTGGGGAATCCATACGGACAGCAGCCAGCATGGTGAGGGACACTAAAACACCACGGAGGTAAACTATTAGGACACTAAAATAAACAAGGTTGTGTATTTAATAGATTACCCGAAACAAATTATCGGAAAGCTTACTCAACACAGTGAGTGTCCAGACGAATAAATTGGTGAACTATTCACGAATAAACCATTAAAATGTTGAAGTCTAAAAATTGAACATAAACAAATCATTAGGGTGTATATTTTTTTTTTAAAAATTCCACGACATATTGTATATATTTTAACCGATTATCGATGATATTGCTGTCAAAAAACTGTTAAAAATAATAATAAAAACAGTTTTGTTTTGCATAATTAGTGATATACGCTCAACGCATAGGCCGTCGTTGACATTTTTTTGCATGGACGTTTTCTTGCGTTTTGTACAATTTATTTGGTTAAAGGAAATGGTAGTTCGTTTAATGATATACGTAAACTGTTGCAAATGATGGGGGAAAACGTACACAATTCTTGGAACTTGCCGGCATAGGCCTCGCGGTTGTATGGGTTCCACCGTCCCTTCCACTTTGATGACACCGCAAAATGACAAACTGTGAAATACTAGTAGTTTTAAGTAAGAACAATGGTAATCTAGTATTTTAATTATATTAGATCAAATAAAAATAGCCATTTTCAGTAATCGGGATATTTTTGGATACGCATTTAATTTCATCTTACTGGGTTGAATCTGACGACAAACTTATACCCGGATGTAGGAATATTTGGTGAATCGATTCGACCGTCTTTACTTCAACATGATACGAGGACAGTTGAAATATCTCGTACATTATTTGAGAATGCAGTCACTGGCTGTGTCTGGCATTTAAATTCATTGTCGAATCTACATCGTGTACAGTACGGAGAAAAAAAAACAGAATCAGGGGTATTGGAGGAGAGAGCTCGATTCGAAGATTTTTCACCATATCAGGAGGGAATACCAAGCTGGAATTTATCGACTTTGTTGGTTAATGCTGCATCGTATTATGTAAGTTAATTTGAAAAAACACACAAACACCAACATCGTCATTTTTAGAAGGTACGCGATCATAGTGAATCAAATACAGAGAGAATAAAAAGCAGCATATGAAACTGTCAAGTTTTCTGCTTCCAATTTCACGCTTTGGTGGCGCACAAAGAACCCTCCTTGTTTTCTTTGCGTGGTAAATAAGAGATGGAGCTGGCGGCTCTGTTTCTGGCAGCTCAAGCAGATGTGTACATTTACTGATTATCGCCAATTATGACGTTTTATGAACGCTTGGCTTGTTGTCGCTTTCAGAAATTTCAAAAATTGGTATATTTTTTGCGCGAAATGTCCGAGATTCGTCGCGACTAAAGTTCCACAAGATGGGTATGATAGTAGAAGCCGTCGCTATAGAAACACCGACCGATGGCTCCCTGTACACAGTGTGTAAATGAGAGCTGATATCGTTTTGACTTATAGGTTCAGAAAAATATACAAAATTTAACTATACGTATACGAGCCAATGGAGACCGTTAGAAGCGTAAACCGAGCCTTGACTGTGTGTGGTAGAAATTCTCTCTGACGTGCCCCGCCTGGCTACATTAACGCCAACTCTAATTACACAGAACAATACGAACACCAATGACTGTTGAGTCACGGCCGATAACCTTTAACCCGCTTGTCCCTTCACATATTTTAATTGATGTGTATATGCTATCACGCATCTTCCACATCTTCTGAGATTGCATTCAGTTGGCAGCATCACACGTTTTCATCATTCGATACAGAACTCGTCGCTAGTGCTGTGTTTACTCGTGGACGTACACCACACATGCGTGCGTGACGCGTCTCCAACTACCGTTTAAAAAGTTGTAAATGTGTTGAATAAGACTGACACCGCCGCTGATTAGCTTGTATCAGTGTGGTGCAAACTAACGAAGTCACATGTTATTCATAACATTCGAATCAGGTTGTCATTAAATATATAGCGATTTCTGTAAAAGGAGTTTTAAGAATAATTGGCTCGAGGCAGCATTGCACATTGGAAAAGAATTTCAAACTTCAAGTTTCAAATTTTAAAGGGAACATTTTCTCTCATGTGGTTCAAGGCACTACTACGTCCCGATCATTTATTTATCTCAAGCGTGCAATGTTAATTCACATTAAAACAAATCAAAATGACTGAATAAGTCGGTGGTATGCGTGAAGCAACACTCGCTCAATACACGTAAATCATTCTCTTCAACGTGCACGGGGAAATAAAAAAAATAGAAATATGACGTTCATTTTGCGCGATTCTGTTGGGTAACATTCTCACTTTCGCCATTTTTATCACGTGACACGTCCAGACCTATCACGCTATAGTATCGACATCAGGGACACTGAGGATCGTGACGTCACACATGAAGCATTTTCTAACCGAGCATGCTACATCCCATAAAACATGTCAATGAGCTCCGTGATTGAAACAGCGACTGCAGAGTTGGTGGTCCACTCCATCGTTTAATGGCCTCTCAGTGATGAGGGCATAGCGATTTGATAAAAAGAAGAGTAGCGCGAAAAAAAAATGATGGAAGATAAATCTGCCTCAGATAAGAACCGTTTTCATATTATGACACAATTTGTTCGCACTTCTCACGTGGGATACCGTACTTGTACTAAACTGTGAGGGCAATATCACCAAAGTCGATAATTATAAACACTTGGATAAAGTTGGTCACTAGACTGGAAATGATTCTATTAGTCTAAGTCATATGCACCATGGCAGTAATTTTAATAAAGTTCAAAATATTGTTTTTGTTATCACTATCCACCTGCCGACGAATTACGGCCTGGTAAAAAAGTTACATGAATGGGAGATTCCATTACTAGACACAGGGGTGTTCAGTTTTCACGATTTTTGATGTCGCTCAACGTCCGGTGGAGAAAGTGAAACGGGCAAAAAAAAATAACCCATACGAATTAAAAAAGATATGAAAGGAAATGAGTGAACATTATATATTTATCGATTCAAGCGACCCTAATAAGGACACGCAGCGAGTGAACTATATAATGATGTTAATCCGGGGGACCGTAATACAGATTACTGTCTTTCACGAATCGTCCCTCCCACCCCTCGAAATAAAATGCCAGACTCTTCGAGCACAGGGGGTGGTCACTACTTGTTCACGCCGTCCAAAGCTAGTCGAGATAACAGACAGTTGCTTAGCACTACCTCGCAACAGACTCGTTCTCATTCTCAGATTGAGTGACCAATTTACACCCAGGCAACCCCTACTATTACAGTACTGTTTCAGTTTCCATACTGTCAACATCGTCATATGTGCTCCTGTCTCCTCGTTCAGCCTGTTTCGTCCAAGTCTTGTTGGTCCTGTCTTATGTATAGAGATATTTTGTTGTTTTGTTTCAACTGACGCGCAGTTATATAGTGAAGGAAGTTGCGCTGTCAAATATTTACGTCAACCGTCAACACCAGGAAGTTCGACCGTCCGATTCATATACTCAACACTGAAGTTCATCGTCCACGTACAGTACGTACGTATATTTGGGCTAACTATATGTTCATTACTTTTATTTTCTGATCGTTGTTAGAAAACTGTTTGGCGTGTTCGAGTAGTTCCCATGACTATCTTGCAAGGTGTCATGTCTAATAACGGGACCGATGTTGACGTGAAGCCACCGCTTCTCCACCAGCCAGCAACACAGCAGACCCAAGTTCATCAACTCATACAGCCGCAACCACCGACACAGCAGACCCAGCAGAGGCAAGATGTCCAACAATTACAGCAACAAACCGGCCAAGAGACACCCGAAACACCTTCTGCGAATCCAGATAAAGCCACTCCGCCAAAGAAAGGCAGCGCTGGAGTCCGCCGCCACGAGAAACCGCCTTATTCGTATATTGCCCTTATAGTAATGGCGATCCAGAGCTCACCCACCAAGAGACTGACCTTAAGCGAAATTTATCAATTTCTCATGAACCGATTTCCGTTCTTCAGAGGACCTTATCAAGGATGGAAGAATTCGGTTCGTCACAACCTTTCCCTAAACGAGTGCTTCATCAAGCTACCCAAAGGACTAGGCAGACCTGGAAAGGGACACTACTGGACAATCGATCCAGCAAGTGAGTTCATGTTCGAGGAAGGATCCTTCAGGCGTAGGCCGAGAGGTTTCCGGCGAAAGTGTCAGGCCTTAAAACCGTACGGTATGCTGAACAACATGGGCGGTCATCCACAAATGTATCCCGGCGCAACATTCGATATGCTTGGGCCCCAGAACGCGGCAACCTCGCCAACGTTTCCCGGCATGAGTTGCACAATGAACAATATTAACGGCTCTCAGGGAATGGCCGATGCAATGGGGATGATGGCTACATCGCCGATCGTCAGCGGCAATATCACCACACCTACACATCACACGTCCGGCGGCGGAGTCAACTATATGGCGAGCTGCTCTTTGGCGAATAGAGACATCGGAGACTACGGTGCGATTCCAAACAACACATCGCCGACTATACCGACGGTATACACGCATAACAACATGGAAAATCACGGCATGCATTCTGCTTGGTCTCACACGCCACGCTACATCAAGCAACAGATGGACTGCAGTCCAACGAACTCACCTACCCCTATCCAATTGATGGCCGCCGCAACAGAACAAGCGCAATATATGCACCAAAGTAATCCCGACACGAGCGACCATATTACAGGTAAGCACTTACCATTGTACCCTATCCATGTAAAACATCATTCGAATTAATTAATAATTAATTGTAAAATTCTGTTAAAAATTGTCGTTATTTTCGAACTAACGTGTTTAAAAACATAACTCATAAAAAGCACCAAGGTAAAGTACACATATAACTTGCAAGCTGTTTGCTATATGAAAACAGCTGTTTTGTGCGTGTATGTGTTCGTAATCACTGATATACTCAAAAGCTTAAAATACGGTTACGTAATATACTCACACGAGTGATGCGGTTACGAGTAGCCCATGTGTTTTGCCGTCGTCCACCAACGTCTATAGCGCGACTGCACGACTCGAAGACACTCTTGTCTTCTGAAGTCTACCCAGAGTAATTTGACAAATAAATACTCGTTGAACATTCAATAAACTAAACTAACACACTCCCAAGTCAATCAAGACGCTAGCAAAGTTTATAAAATTTCCTCTTCTAGACTTCAACAGTGTAATTTATTCGGCATAGTGCCGTGTATATTTATATACACAGGTCATGTTTTCAAATTTTTTGCCAGTTTGAATAAATTCCTGCCAACGTTTTATTTACTTCGTAAAAAGAAACGGACTAAACACTGGAAGATTGACAGATAGTGATACCTACCACTTTTTTATGACCGTCTCCGACATTGATTCAATTGAGTTTCACTATATTTTATGCATTTCTTTCTTCCATAAGTCTGTTTTTGTTTGGACAAATTACGGCCAATTATGCAGAAATAACAGCCACTGAGATGCCGGCCCACTGACTGCTAGGCACGGTGTTCGGTTCAGTATGTTCTGTTAAACTGAGTTAAGTGATCACTGTCGCGTAAATTAAAATGTATCAGTCTCGATTAAACGGCAACAAATCGTATTATCTGCGATAAAAGATACTTTTCGAATTTCATACTATTTGTCTAATAATAAGAAAAACCCAATTGCAATTGTCCTGGTATACTATGTTGTTTTTTTACGATTTCTTTCCGTATAACGGCGAGGCGATTGCTTGGCGAATTAAAAATTAAACAGAGAGTTGCGTAAAATTATTATTTTGGACAAGTGCATGTGGTGTTAAAGGTTTAGTGAGTTTGAAAAAAAGTAGGTAGCGATAGGTTTCCCTGCTTCAGATTGGGAGGTTAAGATAACAACTGGCTTAAATCGACACAGAAATAAAATACACGAGAATGTCAGCATGGCTAATATTCGGAGTTATTAGTACATGGCAGGGGTTGCCTAACTCAATATAAAACGGCTACAATCATTCCACCGTTCCGTGTCTGTCGAAATATTTCCCCGCCGAAACACGCCCAGCATACAGTTAAACCGCAAATGTAATTGAAAGCAGTGTTGGGTTTCTGCAGTAGTTCCCCGGCGGCTGTGATTTTTTTCGAAACGGGTTCCATTTTACGGAGGGAATACGATACGGAATTCGTTATACCCTGGCCTGTATTAATGGACGATTGTGTAACGACTATATTATAAATTATGATGTTGGCAAAAAATATGGTTTAATGATTAACCGGCGCTAGTTAACATGTAGGTAACCGATTTCCCCTCATCATGTAAAACATCATGTTTTGGTGCGTACCCCCACAAGTTGTTGAAATTGAAACGAACATGATTCAGCGTTTTGCCGATGTGTCAAATCATTGTTATTCACCGTCGCCGAAAATACCAGCTGTGGGCTAGAGGAGGGGGGGCGTGTGTGGGCAGCTAAATCATCTGTTTATTTTGATGCCAATCACAGCAAATGAAAAATGGACCCTGACGCTCGCTTTTTCATGAGTAATTTTTTGGGGCCTGGAAAACTCTGTTAATTAACAACTATACTATGTAAATTTGGACTTGCCTGAGAATCAAACTACGGGCTATGTAATATCGTTCACCTCAATTTTATTAATGCACGAAGACTATTCAGCAAGTCGGATAAAGTTGAAAATCTGATTAACAAGTCATTGTGTCTTAAATACAAATGTATATATATGCATATATAAACTATTTTTTCAGATATAAAAGAAATCTCTGTTTATATATTTAATAGCGTGTCGAAATTGTTATACTCTAGTAGTATAACATGTATTGTAATGAGCTGATGTATACAATCATAGTTATATTAACTGGATGTTTAGCTACGCATTGTCTATCACACCAGTGGCTGGGGATATTCAGAATAAATGTGAAAACAAATATCAGTGTACCAGTCTCTTAAACGAGGAATCCGAGCGTCAATATCAGTGCGTGAACACCCGAACATCATCTCAATAGTCGGGTGCGTTTTAAGGGGATGGATGGAATCATGACAAAGGGCACAAGGAAAATAGATTAATCAGAAGGTATCTGTAAACTAATTCGACAAGAATGACAGTTTTAACGTGTATCGAGTCTCCCAGCTTAATGGCAATGCGTCTGGAGTGCTTTCTCTCACATTCTGACGGAACTGTCAAAATTTCGCTTCTTCTTGACGTTTGGCATCAGGTCGAAAATAAAACGTTTAAACAAAGTCGCGTTTCTCTGGACGGTTTTTATATATAGATCATATACGGTTCTCTGTTCGTGAAAAACACCGGCATTACTGATTGCTCATATTGGTAGACTCTTGAAACAAACGTTATACGATAATGAACTGCTTCCATTCAAATCGAATGACCAGCCAATGTAACGATAACAGCATCAAATACAAGCATCCGCCAAAAAAAGACAATGCTTTCATTGGCATTGCTCGGGAAGATACCGAAATCGCCGTGGCGACTATATAAGCCGCATGATGATACCTATGTCTAGTCAGGAACCCGCGCTAACAAAACGACCAATTCCAGCAATTAAAAGTATTTCGACCGAAAGTCACGTAGTGTTTTCCTTTGTAAGCCATTAATTTCACCAATTCACCTAGAATTGCCACTTGACGTGATTTTTATGTCAAGCTACACATGTTGGAAACGACTGTCAAGTCGTCAGGCTGGTGCCATGGATGCAATCGTGGAGAATAAGAACTGTCTCTATCACGCCCCTAGATAAAGTCATCCCTAACTAAACATGTTCACTACTTTGACCGCGGGCAATGTTCTCAATCAAAATCTACACGGGTTCTTCTGCCTTATTAATGACCTAAATGATGGTTTTACGAGAAAACTTCGAATTCCAGAACTAGAGCGCAAAAAAATAAATAAAATAGTGCATATTGTTTTGAAAGGATAACCAACACATTGCGAACATTTTGCTAGAATTAGCCTATCATAGCCGGATTGCAATTGTTAGTACCACTATAGTAAAAAAAAAAAAGGCATTGAATCACCGCTATGTGCTACCATTTCGATGCACGGGGACACGTACACCCTGTGAGAAGTCTAACCAATGCGATTCAGTACAATTTAAGATACGATAAGTTATATATTCAAATACGAGAAAAGTCACTGCAGCTCGACCATGTTTCAAAAATCCCACCGCACAAATATTATTCAGAAGTGACCCTAAACTATGAATAAATATATCGTGTATGTGGATTAGCTGCGATTAAATAATAATAATAAATGGATAATAATAATTTCTAAAAAAAAAAAATCTATACATGTATACAATTTCCTCTCACAGATCGTGATATCAGGTTCATGAGCAAAGTATATTAAGTATGTACCCCCCGTTGACCCAACCTCTAGGGACAGGAAATTGTTAAACAAAACGGTGGAAATTATGAATAGTGTCCTTGATTACAGATAGAGAGCAACGGTGATGGTCGGCATAGTATGTGGCACAAGTCATTGTCACGTATTTTAATTGACGTACGATAAATACCAGAGAAATGCGAGAAATATTTCAGGAATATTAATTGTAACTTGGAATTCATAACATTAAATTTGTATATATATATTGAAATAGTTATATAACCAAAGCGCGGTGGGTTCATGAACGGCAGGACTAATCACGGTATTTGTTTAAAGTTGTTCGGAACAGTTTTGTATATATTTAAAAATTGTGAAGATTACCGTAGTGCGTGGCCTGACATGGCCTTTTCAATAGGGATGGTGTTAGCATGTGTTGTTTTAGGGGCTCTCTCAGTTAAAGTCACTGATTGTGATTACACAATGAAATCCAATCGATGTTACGCTGAGAAAAGAGAGCTATTTGTTGTAAAGCCGGCTTTGCTGTGTTAAACGGTAGCTAGGCGGCCGAGTCGTAACAGCGACGGAGACACTTTTAAACAGCGATACCAGTTTCCTTAGTTTTTGACCACATCCATGAAGCTTTCTTTATCAAGGTTGTCATAAACGTGTCATCGTGTATGCCCGTTATCATCAGTTGTTTCTCCTGGCTATCTCTTGATTGTCAATGCTATAACCGTCAATATTCCTATTATTTACAATCGTAGTAAACATATCTTCATATACATAGATGTATTACCCTGGGCTATTCCCCGAAGTAACTGCACCCAATTAATTCCCATCGCATTGACACCAAAATGAACGCTGATGTTGTTTTGTATCTGTAGAGCAACTGTAACTACAGTAGAGTGGCTTCACGAAGTTACAGGCCCAGGTGTTATTAATGAACTATTATTTAATTTGCGTTACAAGGAGCTAGTGTAGTGCAAAAGTATTCGCGCTAAATGCCTGCAATTGCCGTGGAAGTGTGGAAGTTCAACTTGTCACCAGTAAAATCACGTTTCACTATGACTTTTGACTTCACTTATTCTTGTTTTGTTTTTTATCTTCTGACACGCAGTTTCCGCCTGCCATAGTTTTTTACTTGTATCTTTTCCTGATTCCGATCACATAAGTCTTTAATTCCGATTCTTTTTTTTTTCCCTATTTTTTTAATTTTAGGAATGAGGAATATGCAGTCGCCACAGACAATGAACGATCCACACGGCATCTGCGAACGGAAATACATGCTGACTAACCACGCCGGACAACCGAACGGTTCTGTAACCGTCACACAAGCGAATTACTACGATGTGAAATGCTCGATGTAAAGAGCGAGTCGAACGTGGGCTGGAAATGAGACACAAACAATAACAGTGCTAGAGCATTTGCACCCACGGATAAAAGATAATTCAATTTATTCTGGAGCCAGAATCCACTCAAGAACCGATAAGGCACTTCCAAATGTACTGTGCGATTAAGTGGCTACATCGTGCCATGCGGCATGACTCTGCGCTGCATAGACACCGCCAACAGACATCATTATTTTAATTTTTTTTATCGCAAAACCGAATATACTTTGGTATGTTGGACAATTTGGGTATTATATATATTTTTTTTTTAATTTTGGGACGTAGAACTTATAATGCGAATATAGTGATAAGCTTTATGGGTAAGAGTCGGGGGGAATTTAGCAGGAATTAACAAAAATCGGATAAGCTGAAATCCTACACTATAAATGTACATTAGATGACTACGAACGTCGTGAAGACTGCGATATGTGTGGCCACAGAATAGTTAGATAGTTTAGCAGGAACCAGAACAAGGTCTCATCTGACTGCCTCGCAGTAGTTACTCTCCACTTTAATCGACAACAAATGTGCTGCTGTAACTTTGTACAAAATAGCCAGGAAGTCATGCATCGAAGTCTGCTCGCGCTTGTTGCCGTTCTGTTGTAAACGCAAGTCCCTCCGTATTTATCTTTGCCGCCTCTACATCAATAATGAGCGAACAACATCGTGCGTGAGAAAGATATCTTCTGTTTCTTATCTCTGGACGATGGCGATTGACTTTTATTGTACTCGTGTTGTGTTAATGTGTGTAGCATGATATTGGATGGGTTGGTTCACACAGAAATACTAGTATTTTCTATACATGAATCGCACAATTATATTTTTGTTTCAAGTTTTGTTCAAGTGTTCGAAAAAGCGCCATTTTGACTTCACGTTTTCGGTTCTTGGAAAGGTGGTATAATAATCAAAATAATATATTTATGAGTATGGTAGATACAAGTAGTATAATAACATCTGATTTAGATTTTATTTTGATATATATATATATATATGTTTGTTGTTTTACTTTGCATGTTTCGCCTATGAAATATTAAATACACATATCCACGTAGTCGTTTTCTTAGATCGATCATTTGTAGTATGAAACCATTTTGAGTATATAGCGTTTTGAGTCCTGTGATATCGTAATTAACGTGTGGCTAGAATTTCACTGCTGGACAGACCTTTTATAATCCGAAAAAAAACACACATTTTTCTAGTGTTTTAATCGGCAAAACTTGTTATATATTCATTCTGTTTTGTTCGTTTTCTGTATTTATCCAGAACAATTCTTCTGCGTCCAAGGAAGGTATCTTGGACCAAAGACGGAAAATTATATTATAAAAGAGGATTTAATAAAATAAAGAATTAATGTTTGCATATACAAGGCACAAGCTTGGGAATGTTATTTTTTGTAATCGCTGTGTCGATTCGAGGAAGTGTTTGGTGTGCACGACGTGATTCCGATAGCCGGGAAGTAAGGTCTTCATGTGGTCGGCGATGAGTCTACTGTACACAGGGAACTCATTAACGCTTTGGTGATGTTAATTAGTCGTGTCTAAAGCGAAGCAGTCCAACACTCTATAGGCTTATGCAAACCATCGCCGCGATTTCAGTGGAGAGGGCGGTGGGTGGGTTGGCTAGCTAGCTATGGAGGCGCGGCATTTCCCAGTTTGGAATCTTCCGCGCTCACCCCCGCGATCGTTGTACTGCAACCAGATGAGGCAGTTCAAGTTCAAACTGCGTGATAGACGTGCGAACTGCAGCGAATGTCAACTCTGGCACGGTGTTCCTCGGCAAGGGGAGCATGTATTTACGAAGACGTGCCAACTGTATTGACTGGCGCTAATGACTAGTCTGTTCTCCCCATGTAGTAACGACGAATAACAGATTAATGGAATGGAATACCGGTATTGAATTGTAAAATAAATACGGAGCGTTCTGCTTGGCCGCAATGTATGATGTACGGAATTTGCATTTCGTGACCGCTGAGCTTTATTCATTCCCGCACATCAATGTGAAATAATAATATTACTGGGTAATTCAAATCAAATGGAAATAGCGGTGTACGCCATGAAATCTTACGAAATACGTCACGAAATCTTGACAAGTATATAAATTTTGACAGATACGTCAGGAAAAGTTGCAAAATCGTATACGTCACGAAATATTAACACATATGCAGCGCATTGTTTTTTTTTCAAAAAACTATGAGATCTGTCAACACAAAAATAATAAATATTTCAATTGGTATTATTAATTATGTAACTATTTGAAACATTTGTCCGATTGGACGCCATTTTGATCACATATTCTTGATCAACACGGACGTGATATTAAGCTTGAACTATTTTATTTATATTACGGCAACTACGATCAGCGTCCAAATCTTAATTGTTTTAAACCAGTTACCATGACAATAAAATAGTTTCCACCGCACATGTAGGCTAAAATAGTATTATCCATTATTCCGGTGTTAAATAGTTTCCACACGGACTAATGTTTCAAAACGGATCAAACATGGTGTATGTGTATATCCTGGCGACTGCACAGCTTATGAAGGTGACATATACTTGACAATTGCGAACATGTCAGATATGTAAGACGAGCTCGATGTGCAGGAGGAGTATTATATCATTTGTCCAATTCATACATAAATTTACCGTGTTTTTTTTGTAGTTGATATAAATCACTATAAATGTTTTCAAAGCATCGATGTATATTGATATATTCACATGCTTTTGGGGCCAAATTATAATAAATAGTTGGCACACAACACACCCTTCACGACTTATCGAGATGGTACGCCTTCGGGCCAACCATTGCCATCCCGACGTTGCCGACAACAATGGCTAACCTGACGTTGCCAATACAGAATGGTTGGTTCACCTTATTTAGAGCACGTTTTTGTGCATATGATGGTGTCATTACCAGTGTGTTTGATTAAGAAACATTTAAGTGCTAATGGATGCATTTTTTTTCAGAAGTTAGATACATGACTATTTTAAAGTTTATTTAATGTTTATTAAAACTGAGCAAAAATACTTGAACAAAGCTAGTAATCATCGAAGAAAACATATTTCATTTTACACCCCCGTATGTAGACCCACTGCTGGTGTTTTTTTCAAAGAAAACGATGGTTATATAAATACAGTAATTGGTGGCCAGTGAGTTTGCTACAGTTAGTTCGCATCTTCTCAAATTTCAAATGTTTGCGTCGTGCATAGATGAACAATTTATATAAATCTTTTTTTTTCCTTTTTTTTTTATCATATGAGTGATTGTCCGTCGTCGTCGTCGTCGTCGTCGTCGTCGTC